CACCTAACCCTAACAACCCTAACCCTAACCCTAATAGCGGTGTCCTAACCGGTACGGGCTACCCTAACTCTAACTCTCTAACGTGATTCGCTTCGCTCATCACCTCTAACTCTAACTCTAACGTGACTCGCTTCGCTCATCACCTCTAACTCTAACTCTAACGTGACTCGCTTCGCTCATCACCTCTAACTCTAACTCTAACGTGACTCGCTTCGCTCATCACCTCTAATACTCTAACTCTAATGTGACTCGCTTTGCTCATCACCTCTAATACTCTAATGTGATTCGTTTCGCTCATCACCTCTAACTCTAACTCTAACGTGACTCGCTTAGCTTATCACCTCTAACGCTAACTCGAATATGGCTTATATCGATCATCACCTATACTGAAACTCCTCCTATCCCTCTTACTCCTACTCCCCCATCATTTCAAACCCTAACCACCTTGAATCTCTCTCTTTCCGATCACCCTAACCACAATCAATCTCTGACTTTCGCCCTTACCTTCTTCGACTTAATATCTAAATAAATGAAACCCCTCCTAAAACATTCTATACAAATCCCTATCATTAATAACACTAATACTAAGTCGCTTTCGAAATAACGAATACCATTAATAATAAAATTCATCTCCCCTCTCTCCTCCATAAATCCAAATAAAAATCTTAATCTATGAATACCATCATGAATCTTCCTATCAGATTATTAAATCGAACTCATCATCTAATCAATAACATCAAATTTTCAGATACTAACTCCCTATCGAACCAAAATCCTTCTACTCTCCCCCTTCTACTCTCCCCCTTCTACTCTCCCCCTTCTACTCTCCCTATATATCAAATTCTTATCCCTAGTCATCTATGACCCTAACCATTATATTCCCTATAATTCCCCCTTCAAACAAAATCATTATACTCTCTATAAACCTCCTCCTCAATCATAAAACACTAATCCAATTATATCCTTAATAAATCCCCTTCAAAATCATCCATCACCCTAACCATCATATTTCTACTAAATCTAACTTACGATCTAAATAATGATATCCATGAATTCCCTTCGAAATCATCTATCTCCCTAACTATTACATTTCTACTGAATCTTCCTATCAATCTAAATAGTTATACTCTATATAATCCTCTCCCTATCATCTATCTCCCTAACCATTATATTTGTACTGAATCTTACTGACTATCTAAACTATAATACTCTCTATAATCCCCTCTATTATCTATCTCCCTTATATGATATTTCTACTGAATCTTACATACTATGTGAACTATAATACTCTCTATAATCCCTATCATCTATCTCCCTAACCATTCTATTTTGAATTAATCTTTCTATCTATCTCAACTATGATACTCTCTATAATCCCCTCCTGATCATCTATCTCCCTAACTATTATATTGCTGCTTAATCTTACTTACTATTAAGATGATGATACTCTCTATAATCCCTTTCCTATTATCTATCTCCCTAACCATTGTATTTCTACTTGATCTTCCTATCTATTGAAATGTTATACTCTATATAATCCTCCCCTATCATCTATCTCCCTAACCATTCTATCTCTGCTTGATCTTCCTATCTATCGAAATGTTATATTCTATATAATCCTCTCCCATCATCTATCTCCCTAACCATTGTATCTCTGCTTGATCTTCCTATCTATCGAAATGTTATACTCTATATAATCCTCTCCCCATCATCTATCTCCCTAACCATTGTATTTCTACTTGATCTTCCTATCTATCGAAATGTCTAACTCTATATAATCCCCTCTATCATCTATCACCCTAACCATTCTATTTCTGATTAATCTTGCTTTCAATCTAAATGATGATACTCCATATAATCCCCTCTCTATCATCTATCTCCCTAACCATTATGATCCCTATCAATCACTGAGTAATCAAAATGGGAATATGGATCTATATATTTGGATTCATAATGATATATCTTACTCTCGACTTATGAATTATGGCTCTAATAATTATGATACTGACTCCTACTATGGCATACTACTAAACAATTGCCTAACCCTGAATGGAATTGATACAACTATAACACCCGAATCTGGTTGTCTTACTTGGTGTCCAACCGGGTGTGTAATATGGCCTGGTATTTAAACTGGCCTGCTGGACCTCCAAAATAAAAATCGGCTACCGAATCTGCCTCCAAACTGGCTTGGAAATTCGGATCGTGGATATATATCTCTCGACTAAACCCTCCCTCCTACATCCCAACCTCATGATATATCCGCCGCAACCATATGAATGCACGAACTAACTCCGTATGCTTCTCCCACCCCTGGGTACTGCGTTGCCCTAAAAACGCTGTCACCTGCGGCTCATCCTGTGCACTCACCCCCTGCTCAGCTAATCGCTGCTCCCATAATCGCTGGACCTGCTCCTGCTTGGGGCCTCCAAACAACATCATCCCAACCATCGCGTATAATAATCCGCGGTGCGCGCATTCCCCACTGGACCACCCGGAGCATAATGTCTGTGGCATCCCACATTGGAAACAACTGGTATATCGTGCGTACTGGACCCGCCGCCGGACTCGAATCATCCAATCCCGCGCCTGCTGGCTACTGGGCTGGGGACAATGGTATAATTCGTGCTCAGCATTCCGGCCTTCCTGCGTACAAATCCAACAACGATCCTGCCATTCCCGCGCCTGCTGCATTAAAAACTCTTCGTCTGTCAGTTCCTGCTGCCGCGCCTGCTGATGCTGCTCGGACATGCGTGCGCGATCAATTTCCTGCTGCTGGAACTGTTGCCGGACCCCAAATGGAATACCTCTGTGGTCATTGGATTCTGCGCTGGCTGCCATGGTCTGCCTGTGATGACTGGATGCTGTGCTGGCTGCCATGGTCTGCCTGTGATGACTGGATGCTGTGCTGGCTGCTATGGTCTGCCTGTGATGACTGGATGCTGTGCCGGCCGCCATGGTCTGTATGTGATCATGAATGGGGCTCTCCCATGGTGCCTGTGACTGTAAGCTCTCGGAATCAACACTGCTGGCCCTCTCGCTGGCTTCTGGGCTGGCTTCTGGGCTGGCTTCTGGGCTGGCTTCTGGGCTGGCTTCTGGGCTGGCTTCTGGGCTGGCTTCTGGGCTGGCTTCTGGGCTGGCTTCTGGGCTGGTTCTCGGACTGGCAGCTTCGCTGGATTCCTGCTCTTCCATCACCTGCCAATCGGGGTCGCACCCATCACATCGTGCCTCACTGGTGACCGAACTATAATCGTGATCCCCACAATGGGATCGCTGGTATCCATCTACCACGCCATCCAAATACCCGTCCAAAACGACCCGCCGGCATGGACTGGCTGACATGTATGCATCCACCCGCTGCTGCTCTGCGGACGGCGTGTCCTGCATCCACGGCGGGGGGTATCAACCCCGTCGGGCTGGATGATGATCGCTTCGCTCGCCTGACCGTCCCGACCCGCGCGCCCGCTCTCCTGCGCGTAATCCAGCAACGTTCGTGGTCGCCCCAAATGGATGATGCTGCGGATGTCGGGGATGTCGACTCCCATCCCCAATGCACTCGTCGCCACGACCACTCCGTGGGGCATACTGCGAAACCGCTCCAACACGCCCGCCTTATCCACCTGGTCATGGTAATACGCCTCGCACCCAAGTATCTCCGCCACCGTTGTGACATGTTCGACGATATGCGCGTACACAATGGTGCGCCCGCCCCGCGATCGTCGGATGCGGTCCCGGATGAATGCTGCGATATGATCCATCTGGATCCAACGATATGGCCCCTTATACTCCCGCTCGATCATCGGACGCCACAAACGATATGCTACGTTGGTCCGGCTGGTTCGACCACGGAATAAGCTGACCTGCTCCTGGGACCATCGCATGCGTTGCCATAATCGGTCCTCTAAGCTGGGGGGCAATGTCGCTGTCAACAAAACCACCTGCGTCCGCGCGATCATCAATCGTCCGAGCTGCTGCATCATGGGCCGGAAATCGCGCTGCTGATTCAATACGATGTGGCATTCATCAATCACAATGCGGTCTAACCGTTTCATGACCTGGGACGAACATCAGCATGGATCCCACGCTCCGTCGATGCCAACCTCAAGCCCGATGCGCGGGCCCGACCTTATAACCTGGGTTTTAAGCGGACCTCTGCTGACCTCTTAAAACCCAGCTTATAAGCTGCGGGCGCGGGGGGCATCTCAGTTGGTGACGGTGGGACATGGGGACATCAACCCTAATCCCTGGGCCCCCGTTTTAAAACCGGGGTTCGAACGCATCCTTACAACCCCGGTTCTAAACTGGGGGCGCCGGCTGGGGTCTCGGATCGCGGGGGGACATACCTGCTGTCGGTTCAAAAACGTGATGAAATCCTCACTCAACGCGGATTCGGGCGTGACGAGTACAATGGCCGCCTCGTCGGGCGGCCGCCGGCTCTCCCATTCCACGCACGAGATGCCGGCCACCGCGCATCGCTGCTGCAAGTCCTGGCGTAAAGCAATCAATGGGACGACGACCACCGTCAGCCCGCCGCTGACCCATGCCGGTAACATGAACAACATGCTCTTGCCCCCGCCCGTCGGCATCACCACGACCACGGGGCTCACCCCATGCTGGATCGCCTGCATCGCGGGCCCCTGGACGCCGCGGAACTGGCTCTGGTCGTCGTTGGTCATCCGCTGCAATGCCTCCGTCATATTGGCCTCGTGGAGCTGCCATCGGCGCTGACGTCGATGGTCGTCCGCCTCGGCCTCCCATGGGCCCTGCTTGCGCTTGCCAAGCACCCTGGCCAAGCCGTCCTCGGCGCTCTCGAACCCTAAAAACCGATGCCAATCCGTGCTGGATAATCGGAACATCTCCCGTCGGTGCGCCGTCGTCCCAGCCTGCTCGGTGATCTCGCGGCCATAAATCATGCCCGCCACATGGGATGAATGCGCGGCTTGTAAATCCGCGATGTGATCCTCGGGTTCATCGTCGTCATGCGCTGGCACCTTGGTCCCGTCGTCCTGGACATTCTGGGGGAAAACGCTGGATACCCGTAAATACCGCCGGCTGATCCCAATGGCGATATTCCGGTACGCGGGCAAAGTCAATGCGTACCTATTCAGTAGTTAGCCATCAAGCTGGGCCATCAAGCTGGGCCGTCAAGCCATCAACAACTCATATAGCTTACCCATTCAGCCCAATCGTCGTCTCGCGCTTCAACGCCTCCCGTAATCGCTCCGACGTCCACTCACGCCCACTCGTTGGGTCGGGCGCCCAGATGTATGCGGCACGGGACTGCAGACCCTGAATCGTCTCGCGAGCCGTACCACGAGCCTCGTGCTGGTACGCCTGTAATCGTTCCACAAATGGTAACACTAACCATAAATACCATACCACCAGCTCCCCGACCGCGCGCGGCAAGTACCGATGGATGATCTTCGCGTCGTTGCTCGCATAAAACCCCTTGTGGTACTTCGTCGCGAATACGACCAGTCCATCCTCGATGAATACGTTGCGATGGGCCCCTTCCGTGTTGCGATGGCGGACACTCAATAGCTCGGGTGCACGGCCGGGCTGGCCCGCGGTGATGTGACAAACGATGGCGAGCTTCTCACGGAACTGGACCACGCTCTGCATGTACTGTTCGATGGCACGCATCCGGAATCGACGCTCGGGCCCGTCGACAAATCGCTGTTGTAATCGGGGCTCGCGCTGGATCCGGCGGGCGAGCCATTGGGCCCCGTCGATGGGCCACGGGGTGCGACTGTCGTTTAAAAAGCACCACCCAGGCTTGGCCTGCGTGGGGTCGTCCATGAGCTGCGCCCATGGGATGGCGGGTGCGCTCGCGGCGTCGCCAATCAATAGCTCGTGGTGTAGTAGCTGGCGTACGGAGCCGACCAACCCGTGAGTAAACCCCCGGAAATCACCCATGGTGAAGTGGATTTCCTTGTATAGCAACTCGTCCTGGCCGGACCAGCTCACGTGGCCGGTGGCCGTACTGCTATAATGGATGCGTAAGCCGTACGTGCGCAAATCGAGCATCCACTGCATCGGACTATGCGTCCCGCGCACCATGAATGTGTCCGTCAACAATCGCAACCACTCGCGAAACGGACGCGGTTTCCGTCGCTGCTGCTGACTGAATTGCATGGGCTCGGGCTGGCGATGTGTGGGTTCGAACGCGGGGCTGCTCGATGGTTCTCGTGGGCTCCGATCGCTGTCATACCCTTCGTCGTGCTGGCCGGAATATATATATTCGGGATCGTCCATCGGGCTTTCGATCGACCACGTACCTAACATCGGTCAATCAATCAAGCATCGAGCCATCGAGCCAACCTATGCACGAAGTCATCCATCGCGATTCTTACTTACCTACTTCATGACGGTCACGCATGTATTGTAAAATCTGCTTGGCATTCGGATCCAAACGCAACGCCTTGTGTAATACCATGAATCGACTGATCTTGATTGTTTTGGACAAAATTGGGGGATAACTGTCCGCGTCGCGCCATCGATCACGGCCCTGGCCAAGCACGGCTAATGCGCATATCAAGGCACATTCGTACTCTTCCGCGCTAGCCCGCTGGTTCAATAGTTCAATGCAAAAGTCCATACATGCGGTCTGGATCGGAGTCATCTGGTATGGATCGTCGCCACCGTCTCCCTGGCTCTGGGTCTGGCTCGGATGGTCGAATGGGTCGGGGCTCCCACGCGTGTCCTGCGCATGCCGCCATAATGCCTGCCATGCCCGTCGCTGGCGGGGGGTGAATCGGTACGGCGGGCTCGGCCAATCGTGCTCAACCTGGGTGCGAGCGAAAAACATCAAGATCTGCTGCCACGGCTCGACATGCCGCTGGATCTGCTCCTCATCCATATATGCCTGTAATGGTTCGTGCGGGCTCTGGTCTTTCTCCGTACGAGCAGCCTCGACACGAATCAGATGGCCCGTCTGCTTGGTGATGCGCTGGCTGATCCGCGCGACCCCGTCTATGGCGTCCCAGATGGCCCGCATCGCCCCTTCTGGGCCCTGGGCGTCCTCTGGGGGGGTCTTGATGGACTGTAGTATATCGCGGGGGGGATGCCTACGAGCCGTTAGTTAGTCAAATTGGGGATTAATCGATCGACTATCAAAGCTGGGGCGTGGGCCCCATCTTAGAACCCAGGTTTTAAGCTCATTCCTTAAAACCCCAGTTCTAAGATGGTCTCTCTCTCCACTAGCCTACCCAACGACGCACGAATCAATACACACCTTGTAAATACACGGCCCACTGCGTCCGTCGGAGCCACGGGTTCGCCTCATCGAGCGGGCCGGCCTGGATCGTACGGTCGTCCGGGGCCTGCGAGTCAACGTACGTCTGTTCGAGCTGCTGGATGAGTTCATTGACCACATTAGCCTGGGGTGGCGGGCGTGCGGGTTCATAGTTGGGTCCGGGTTGTCGGACGTGAATGTAATGCGATCCAAGCCTCCGGTAAAAAACCCGCTGGCACACGACGCGTCGCATCGCCTGATCCCGGGCGTCTTGGCCAGCTGGGACTTCAGATGGCCGGGGCTTCCGACTATGGTCATATGGCGAAAACCCATGCTGGGTCCGCCAGTGCTTCCGGATGCTCTCCATTGTACGGCAAACGTACCCGCAAAACGTACATAAGATCCCATCATTGTAGATAGTCAGCCCGGGAATTAGCTTCCCAACGGACTGTGGTAAGTTGGTGGGTTCATCGCGGACGTTGGGCCATGTATTCACGATCTGTGTAAGTACCTCTTCTGCGACGCTGTGGGGGATAACATGCGCGCCCTTGGGCTTCGTTAAATGGCGAATAATCTCTCTGGGTCTAACGGCGTACTCGCATCGCCGGCAAATGGCGACTCCAAGCTCGTTGTTGGGCTGGAAAAACGTGTTGGCATTGATGGACTCTGCCATGGTATGTTGGATGCGAGATGCGTATATATATCTCAAGTGTGTGTGATGGACGTATATCTTCTAGTGGATGCTATCAATGACGGGTGTTGAATTCAAATCGGATGGCGCTTAAAATCAGCTGGGATATATGGGAGACCCCCTGAATGCGACCCCTGAATTTTCAGCTCAAACTCTGGACTGGGATGTTGGGGATCGCTGGTTGGTGGTTGACCTCTCATGGTCGATGAAGCGTTCTGCTAGCCGCCGGTCGCCCCCCATCAAAATATTTACCTGATTTCGAATCCCTGCAACCACCCTTTCATGGGGCGATTGGGGCCTGAAATTTGGGAATA